CACTACTCAGCCACCGCCAGGCTGCTTTCTGGATGCTCAGGCCGAGCCTCACACATATGTCCCACAGAACACAGATAATTTGGAACTTCGTGACCTTGGACCCTGGACTCAATGGGACCCCGGAACAGAGATCCTCTGCCTGCATCCCCCAGTCTCTGGTGACTCAGGGATCACACTCATAAGCCACACCCTGCCAGCACCAGATAATCTCCTCATCGGCCACCCTCCAGAACTCAGGATGCTCCTCCCAGATGCGAGTATAAAAGGAAGCTCCCAGAACCATGCCACCAAACTCCGCGCCAGGCTGTGGGGCAGATGAGAGCCTTCCCCACCCTTAAGGGACCCTGCCCCAGCAGCAGACCTCCACTACCCAACCACCGCCACACTCCAGGCCACTTTCCGGACACATAAGACACTTCCTACCCATTTTCCACAATTACTACACCATATCTGATGGGGTTCAGACAGAAGGCAACAAATCATAGAGAAAAATATAGAAATGTATGCCTCTCTGAGAGCCCGGCAAGCTACCTATAGAATCTCACCTGCATGGGCAGAGCCTGGCAAGCTCCCCGTGGCGTATTCAATATGCCAAATACAGTAACGACAACAGTTCTCATATTCCTGACCCTGAAAGAGCCTCCAATTGTTGGGAAAAGACGAGTAAGAAGAAGCTGCTAAAATCTCAAGTCTGGGAGGAATAGAGACATTACTGGCACCCACTCAAGTAATTCGACCATCAACGGGATGACAGTGACACAGTGATACAGGTTTGCAGTTTGAGACCACACCTGGCTGTACTCAGGGGTTACTCCAGGCTTTGTGTTCAGGGATCACTCCTGATGGACCATCTGCAGTGCTGGGAGTCAAATCCAGGTCAAGTGTGTGTGAGGCAAGCATCTAACCCCCTGGACTATCTCTCCAACTCTCATAACCCCTGTTTTTGACAAAGACTTAGGGAAACTAAGCCACTTGCCAGAGCCAATAAGTAAGCACTGAGGTACGGCCCCCTGAAGGTCTGAGTCCAAATCCCGGAGATGCCGTGACCCCAGGGGGGAGCCTTTCAAGCACGCCTCCCTGAATATCCTGGCAACTTCCAAAGCCAGATGTCTCCCTTCCTGAGGACTCCCTGGGGCTTTGACCCAGTGGCCCAGGAACTAGCCAGGGAGTGCAGGACAAATTCCAGTAATGGAAAGAGAATAGATTCCAAATCAAAGAAACATTCCCCAGCAGCCTCTTTCTCTCATAGATTGGGGCAAGGGGGTGGGGGGAGGCCTCACACCCAGTGGCGCTCAGGGGCTACTCCTGGCTCCCAGCTGGGGAATCACTGCACAAGGCCAGCACCTTGGCCCCTGGCTATCTCGGGGCCCTCTCAGAGATGTGCTGAGTGCCCTTTACTTGTAGGAAAGCCTTTCTAAGGATCCATCAAGCCCAGAGACCCGAGGCGTGCGATACGTGTGTCTACATACAAACTGGAAACATCCTCACGGCCACAATGGAGAGGACAGTAGGGTCAGCGAGCACCTCTCCAGCGAGGGGGCCTCCCATTAGCCCCAACACCAGGCGTTTCTCCGTTCCTGCTGGCAGTGATGGCTGGCTCCTGTCCACCTCACTCAAGAGGGGTCCCAGAGGCTCCTGTTTGTTCCGACCTTCACCCACAGGCGCCTGGCAGTGAGAGTAGGGTGCTCTCCCAGTGAGGGGAGCCTGTGGACAGTTTTCTCCAGCCTGCTCCTCCCCCTTTCTGCCATATCTCGAATTTCAACACTTGGTGGCGCTAGCACTCCATGCGACTCGGCCACGCCCAGGCAAACTTGGGAGGGGTGGCGGGAGGCCCTGCCCTTAGTCAGTTGCCTTAACATCAATATCACTCTTTTGCTCTTTCCAAACATCAAAGAGCTTCTAGGTAGGGGGAGAGATCTTTCTAGCTGCCCTGAGCGGTGAGCGACTTCACAGTCAAGAAAACCCATCAGAGGGTTGGAGCGATAACACAGAGAATAAGGCATTTGCCTTAAACGCGGCCAATACGCCGCCGATCCGGGTTCGATTCCCAGCATCCCATATGGTCCCCAAGCACACCAGGAGTAATTCTTGAGTGCATGAGCTAGGAGTATTCTCTGTGCATCGCAGGGTGTGACCTAAGAAGTAATAATAATAAAAATATATATATTTTTGCTTTTTGGGTCACACCTGGCGATGCACAGGGGTTACTCCTGGCTCTGCACTCAGGAATCACTCCTGGCGGTGCTCAGGGGACCATAGGGATGCTGGTAATCGAACCCAGGTCGGCCGCATGCAAGGCAAACGCCCTACCCACTTTGCTATCGCTCCAGCCCCATAATAATAATTTTTTTAAAAATAAAGAAAACCTATCAGAAAATGGGCTTGAGTGATAGTGCAGAGAGGAGGGCACTTGTGGCCAGCATCCCATATGGTCCCCCGAGCACCACCAGGAGTAATCCCTGGGTGCAGAGCCAGGAGTAACCCCTGAGCATCGCCAGGCGTGGCCCGAAAACGAAAAGAAAAGGAAGGAGAGGAAGGTAAAAAGGAAAAAAAAGTTAAAAGTTAACAGAGAAGAAACAAACCCCGCTTCCACCTCTGAGATGTTCCTCTCTGTAACCGTTTGCGTGACTGGAATCACTTTAGTACACTGCGGCCTGAGACAGGACCTGTGACAAGGTCAGGGTCCTTGCTCCACCCTTGCCCCCTGCTCCCACCTTCACTGGCCAGACCCTCCAAAAGAAGGGTCACACTCACCTTCGCAAACTCACTCCTGGGACTGAGAGAAGCCCCTGAACTCTGTCTCACAGGGTGTGCTCAGAGCACTGCTTTTCACCCGGGGTGACGCCCTCAGCACAGCACCAGGGCACAGGCAGCTACTTGTCGCTATGAGGCCAATCAGACATTCGATCCCCAGCACAGCCGGCACACACACAAGTGGGCCTCAGAGCTGAGACACCCCCTCCCAGTGGGCCTTCTCCCCCAGACTCCTAACGCCTCTAGCCCCAAGGAAGGCCTCAGAGGTCTCCTGACTCTGGGCAGAGATAGGAGAGAAAAGGACCCAGATCACCCCGACTTGGCATCTCTGCAGAAGGAAAACCATCAATGTCATCCAGCCCGACTCCCTCTGACACAGGCCTCAGTCGCATTCAGGGGCCCCCTTCCCTGCTGAGGTGGTGTTCAGGAGAGCAAAACCCCTCATCTTTCCCATTATCTCTGGATGGCCACAGCCCGCCTGTCAGGGCCCCCGCCCTCCTGAGGAACCTGGGACAGGGGATCTGGCCTGGGAGAGTTTCTGCCGAATGCCCTCATCCTCTTGGCCCATCAGCCTGCAGGTCCTAGAGGATGTCCCAGCCCCCTTCAGCTCCCTCTCCACATCCCCTCACACAGGTCACTCCTTTCCCAATGCCCCCCTCCCCTCCCATAAACTAAAGTCACTTAAGTCACTTAACTTCCTGTTAGTCTTCGATTGCTCGAGCAGGCGCCAGTAACGTCTCCATTTGTCCCTGTCGCGTGCTAGTGTAGCCCAATGGCATCTCTTCGCTCCGGGAACATGGAGGGCCTCAAACCGATCGTTCATGATCTTGACAAAGAAGTCTGACCATCTGGTAGGTGGGCGGCCACGCGGTCTCTTGACATCCCGTGGAATCCAATCAGTAACAGCTCTAGTCCAACGGTCGTCTTTAAATCTCATTACGTGACCAGCCCATCTGATTTTCGACACCTTGGCAAATGAGACAGCGTCCCTGATCCTTGATCGTCGACGGATGTCAGAACTCCGGATTCCTTCTCTCATTTGAGTGAAACGTGATATTCCAAGCATAGCTCTTTCTATTCTTCTTTGGGAGACCTGAATACACAAACCGGCTCAAAGAATGCAGAATACGGCAGAATTGTGTAACATACAGAAGAGTGGGCTGGAGTGATAGCACAGTGGCAGGGCGTTTGCCTTGTATGGGGCCGACCCGGCCAACCCAAGTTCAAGTCCTCCACCCCTCTCAGAGAGCCCGGCAAGCTACTGAGAGTATCTCGCCCGCATGGCAAAGCCTGGAAAGCCACCCGTGACGTATTCGATACGCCAAACACAGTAACAACAAGTCTCACGATGGAGACGCTACTGGGTCCGCTCGAGCAAATTGATGAACAACGGGAGAACAGTGACAGTGACAGTGACAGTGGCAGAAGAGTAGTAAAACCCAGGTGCCTGCCACTTGCTCCACAGAGAAACAGAGAGGGAGGGATGAGGTTGAAGAGCGTGTCCGGCTGTTTCTCCTGGGGCCACACCTGGTGGTGCTCAGGAGCCAAACAGGTGAGAATTGCAAGCAGCCATGGGAATGCTAACTCCCTCCACACACTCACAAACACACTGTACACACGCATGCACATACACGCACACACACACATACACACACGCATGCACATACGCACACACACACGCATGCACACACACATGCGTGCACACACACACATACACCCCACCCCATAGCCCAGAATCCCGAGTTTCTGGCCCCAGCCACACTGCCTCCCCTCCATGTCTTCGTCTGTGCTGGCCCCTGGGCCTGGCCCCTGGCCTTCGCTGACCAGTGCTGGCAGGGTGTCTGATGTCTTCCCCAAGACCCTCTAATCCAGGAGCCCCTCCTACCTCCACCACTTTGGAAGATGCTGGAATCAGGACTCAGCAGAACCAGATGGTGCTGACCTACGCCAGGGACTGGAAGCCCACTCGTGAGCACCTGGGCCTTGCCACACCCTGAATTTGCCTGTTCCCCCACCCCTTGCCCCTGCAGGACAGGGAAGGGCCCATTTGCCTGGAGGTGCTTTGGCTGGCGGTTGAGCCGGGCCCCACACAGGGCCAGCGGAGAGGAGCAGCTTTGGGCAGCCGTGGTGGGGACCTGCCTTGGCCAGCCCTAGGGCACCCGGGCTGGGCGCTGCTTCTCCTCCTGCACCTTGGACCCTTCCTGGAAGACTGGCAGAGGCACCTGCAGACCCCGACTCCCGCAGCCATGGACAAGCTCCGCCTGCTCTTCCAGCACTTCCAGGCCAGCTCGGAGTCAGTGATGAACGGCGTCTGCCTGCTGCTGGCCGCGGGCACTGTCAAGCTCTACGCCTCCCTGGATGTCCACTGCCCCTGCCTGGCACGCTACAACGCGGCCTACGGCCTGGGCCTGCTGCTGGCGCCGCCCCTGGCGCTCTTCCTCTGTGGCCTCCTGGCCAACCGGCAGTCCGTGCTCATGGTGGAGGAGTGGCGCCGGCCGGCGGGACGCCGCCAGAAGGACCCCGGCATGATCAGGTGCGACCCCACACCCCCCAGCACCCCAGGGCCCTAGTTTGCACCCCCACCAACTGCACAGGCTCTGCCAGGTGCATCCCAAGCCCCCAACACCACCACCCCTGCAGCTTTATTAGGGGCTCCCCCCACCTACTCACCCTCACAAACACGGCCAGGTCATCGCCCTAAAACCACGAGGTCCCCTCCACACTCTGCAGTGGGTACTGCAGCCATCTTCTTATGGAGGGAGGGGGGCCCACCCCAGCAGTGCTCAGGGTTGACTCCGGACTGTGTTCAGGGATCACTCCTGGTGGTTCTCAGGAGATCATATGGGGTGCCGGGGATCCAAACCCGGTCTGCCGCATGCAAAGCAAGTGCCCTACCTGCTGTACTATCCCTCTGGCACTGCTTGTTTGTTGGTGGAGGGAACCCCATTAGTGCTCAGGGCTTGCTCCTGGCTCTGTTCTCAGAGATCACTCCTGCCTGGCAGGCCTCGGAGAACCATATGGGGTGCCGGGGATTGAACCTGGGTCAGTAACATGCAAGGCAAGTGCCCTCCCTGCTGTACCATTGCTCCAGGCCCTGCATCCATTCCCTGACACACCCCAAGTGTGGAACCTCTCGGCCTCTGGGAAACACCGGCCATGCCGCCCCCACCTCCAGCTCTGTAGCTGTCCTCAGTGCTGTGGTCTCGTGACTTTGGTTTGGGTATTTTGGCAGTGCTGCTCCTAGCTCGGTGCTCCAGGGACACTCCTGGGGCTGGGTCTCCCACGGCCTCAGCTCCCCACTCCTCTCCGGCCAGGTATATGTGCTCCTCCGTGCTGCAGAGAGCGCTGGCCGCCCCGCTCGTCTGGATCCTGCTGGCCCTCCTGGACGGCAAGTGCTTGGTGTGTGCCTTCAGCTGCTCTGTGGACCCCGAGAAGTTTCTGGACTTTGCCAACATGACCTCCAGCCAGGTGCAGCTCTTCCTGGCCAAGGTGCCTTGCAAGGAGGATGAGCTGGTCAGGGACAGCCCGGCCCGGAAGGCCGTGTCCCGCTACCTGCGGTGCCTGTCACAGGTCATTCAGCCTGCCCTCCCTGGGCCTGGGTGGGTGGGGGGACTGAGGAGGGACAGCGATGTCCTGGGGACCCTCCTGCTGGAGACACACAGGCAAGGAACGAGAGGGTCCTGGGGGGTTCCCGTTCAGGACGGGGTTGGAGGCGCGGGCTCTATGCCATGCATGTCGACATCAGGTGTCCACCCACTCAGCCATGCTCCCAGGACACTGCAGGGACACAGCTCTGTGTTTGTGGAGGGCCAGGAGGGCTGCCAGCTCGCGGCCATCACTCAGGGGAGGAGGAAGGGGAGGCCACACAGTATCAGCTCCACCATCAGATTCTTCAGAGTTGCCCTCACCCTCCGCCAGATGGCTTGTTTCCCGGCTGTATCCTGTGCGACTGCCACCTCAGCTCTCAGCCAGAACCTCAGTTTCCAGGGCCCCCAAGTTCAGATTAGGGGTTCCTTTCTCTGAACTCCCATGTCCCTTGTAGATCCATCCACATGACACTTAGACATGGCAATATTTCTGCTGCTAAAGTGAGCAAAGACTGGGGTCCATTATCTCCATCAAAATACAGGACAGGGCATGCACAGATGGGACGATACATATGACCCAAAAGCTGGATGAAAAGGTGAATGGACATTGAGGCGGGGTGGGTGGGTGGGTGGGAGTGTGTGGGATGGTTGGTTGGATGGATGGTAGATGGGTGGACGGGTAGATGGATGGATGGGCAGGAGTGCAGGAAAGGCAAAACTCAGGCTTTCAGCTGAGGCTCTAATTAAAAGATTAACAAGAGGAAAATCATGCAAGAGAAACCTAAAGCAAAGAATGCCATTAAAAGCAATGACTTGGGGCTGGAGCGATAGCACAGCGGGTAGGGCGTTTGTCTTGTATGCGGCCAACCCAGGTTCGATTACCAGCATCCCATATGGTCCCCCGAGCACCACCAGGAATAATTCCTGGGTGCAGAGCCAGGAGTAACCCCTGTGCATTGCTGGGTGTGACCCAGAAAGAAAAAAAAAGCAATGACTTGAAATTCTGGCTTCTGTAGTATCTTCAACAATGAGTGGCGCCTTCAGAGAATAGATGGGACAAAAGAGAGCAGCTCTGGGTTTTGAAGGGCAGAAACTGCGAAGGCAAACGCACCAGAGAAACTAGTGGAGTGGTTTCTCTTTTGCTTGCAGAGTAGTGGGTGTTTAGGGTCATGCCTGGCAGTGTGCTGGGACCATTCCTCACTCTGTGCTCAGGAGCAACCCTTGGTGGTGCTCAGGGGACTAGAGGTGGTGCTAAAGTTCAGACTCAAGTTAGCCACGTGCAAGGCAAGTGCCCTGACCACCCTTCCGCCCCACAAGATTCTGCTTCAGTAAGAATCTCCGGGAGAATTTACTACAACCTGACTCGAGGCAGAAACGGGGAAAGGTCGAACTTTTTCGATATTTGCTGCTTTCTAACCATCTCTGAGATACTTTGCTTGGATTTGGGTTTTGGTTTTTGTTTGGGGACCCCACCTGGAGGTGCTCAGGGGCTCTTCACAGCTCAGTGCAGGGGTCACTCCCAGTGTGCCTGGTGGGCATGCCGGGGTCAGACCTAGGCTCCCACTGCAAGGCATTTGCTCCAGCCCATTCAGCGATGGTTGGGGAAGGGGATGCTGGTTGGGGAATTTGTTCATGGTTGGGAATGGGCGATGGGGTGACAGTCAGGGGCTGGGTCGATGGTGTTGAGACAATGGTTGGGGGAGAGCTGACCGGAGAGGAAATATGATGGGCAGGTCGGGGAGGGATGATTGACTAGATGAACGAATGGGAGGATAGGGATGGACGGGAGGGTGGGTGGAGGTGGTTAACAGGAGGGATGTTCCATGGGCAGATGCAACCATCTGCAGAAAGGCAGGCGGGATCCCTAATGGAGAGACCGTGGACACTCAATCACTGCCCACTTGTTCCCCCACCCCCACCCCATCTTGCTTGCCTCCCCACAGGCCATGGGCTGGACCATCACCCTGCTGCTCATTATCCTGGCCTTCCTGGCGCGCTGCCTGAGGCCCTGCTTCGACCAGACGGTCTTCCTGCAGCACCGATACTGGAGCAACTACGTGGACCTGGAGCAGAAGCTCTTCGACGAGACGTGCTGCGAGCATGCGCGGGACCTGGCGCACCGCTGCGTGCTGCACTTCTTCCAGAGCATGCAGAGCGAGATGCGGGCGCGGGGCCTGCGCCAGCCCGCTGACCACCCGCCGGCCCAGCCCAGAGACCTGCTGGAGCCCCCGGACAGGGACAGCCGGGCACACCTGCACGCAGTCTCCAGCCGCGAGCAAGTGGACCGCCTCCTGAGCACCTGGTGCTCCAGCAAGCCGCCCCTCGGCCTTGCGGGCCCCGCGGGACACTACGGGGGTGGCCTCAGCCACCGCGCCCCCACGGCTGCCCCTGACCCCCGGGAGCCCCAATACACAGAAGTGTAGAGACCCCAGCACCTGGCACCACGCGAAAGGAGCTGGGAGCTGGCTAAACGGAGGGACATCTCAGGGCAGCCCAGCACCCCCCCCCCCCCCGCCCCCATAGCTGAGATCCCCACTCTCTATACTGGGGACACGCCAAGGCAGGGCCAGTTGTCCCCGCAAGAGCTGACATCCCCAGTCACGTTTCTGGGCGTGATCTCATGTACACGAAAGCCGCTGCCCTCACGACTGTGCTGGGTTCTGCTTCCCCCAGGAGAGCAAGTCAGGGGCTGGGGCTGAGTGGGGTCTCCCAGCCACGGGGAACACTGGTGCTCTGTTCTTGGGGGGGCAAACTGAGGATCAAGAGTCTGAGTAGATCAGCCTTGGGATCTGGATGCAGCTTTTCATGTTTCGTAATAATAATAATAATAATAATAATAATAATAAATGACACTGGCACCTGCTTCCATGATGTTCCTATGTGCGTGTGGGGGGTGGGGGGCGCCGTGCTGACTCCTTCTGTGTCCTGACGCATTGCAGCTCCCAGTGACCTAGAGAAGCATTGTGGGTTTCTCAGAGATAATTCCAAGTGAATGACATTTCCTCTGAAAACCCTCCGTGGCTCCTCTCCAGCAGCCAGCATCAGTAGGTGCCACGCAGGTGGGTGGCACCAGCACCAGCTTGGTGGCCGCTCTACCTTCAAGCTGATTCTTCTGGTGAACTCCATGTTTTAATTCTGTTTAGTTTTCGTTTTTTTCTGCGCTTGGGCTCGAGTCAGGACCTCACGCACACACAGGATAGGTGCTCTACGGCAGAGCATTTTTGGTTTGATTTGGTTTAGGGGCCACACCTGGTGGCGGTTCTCAGGGCTACCCATGGCAAAATGCTTGGGGTCGCTGTCAGGAGCAGTGCCGGCCTCTAACACGGAGCTGTCTCCCCAGACCCAGGACCATTTTTCAGATGAGAAAACTGAGGCCTCCGGAAGTTGAGTTTCCTGAGGTCTTGGAAGAACTGGAATCAGGGGCTGGAGCAATGACAGCAGCTAAGGCAAGAGGCCGACTTGGGTTCATTCCCCGCCATGTCACATGGTCTCTGGAGTCCCACCGGGAGTGAACCCTGGGCACAAAGCCAGGAGTATGTCTCAACAGCTCTGGGTATGCTCCCCACCCCCAAATAAATAAATATATATATATATGTAAATAAGAGTTGGAACAGGAGCTCTGGCTTGGCCACTACTTGGCCCTCCAGGTTGTTCCGTGCTTGCGCTCATTCTCAGGGCTCTGGTTGGATCCCTGCAGCTTCACCCCAGCTCTGAGGGAGCCCCAGCAAGCTGTGCCCTTGGTTCCTCTTGAAAATGAAAGGACTGATTCGGGCCTCTTGCTGCCACTGCATGTGAAGTTATCTGCTTCTTGACCTCAGCACTTTCTGCTTCCCCTCCCCCCACCCCCCTCCATCTTTCTGGATTTGGGGCCACACCTAGTGGTGCTCAGGACTTCCTCTTAGCTCTGTGCTCAGGATCACTCCTGCTCCTGCTAGGCTAGGGGAACCTTATGGGGTGCCACGGATTGAGCCCCGATGTGAAGCGTGCAAGGCAAATGCCCTTCCTGCTATACTGTCTCTGCAGCCTATTTCCACTTTCAAAGTGGCCCACTTCCTTCAGCCGACCACCACGGCAGAGGGCCAGTTCTGTGTCCTGACACCTGAGAGATCCTCAGCCCTGCCTGCCCCGCCCCCCAGGCCAGCCCTCACCCCAAAGCTGACGCCAGCCTCTGTCCAAGGCTGCCTCTGCCCCAGGGCATGCCCAGGGGGTCCTGCTCAGAGGTTAGCACTCTTGTGGGGGTTTCTCTGGGGATGAGGGATAGGTCCGAGCTGGGAATCAGCAGGGGGTGGGCCCAGGGGATTCCAGAAAAGCTGCTGCTCGAGAACCTTTGGGCCACAGGCCAGGCCAGAGCCACGGTACAGCAGGGATAGCACTTGCTTTGTATGGATGACCCCAGTTCTATCCCTGGCATCCCATATGGTCCCCTGACCCCTGCCAGGAGTGAGCCCTGAGCACTGCTGTGTTCTGCACACACACCCCAACACCATCACCAAAAAAAAAAGCACACACACACACAAAAATCTCTGGGCTTGTTTATGGGTACAGAATATGGGATATGGTTCAGGGACAAGAGTCCTTGGAACATCAGTGTTGAACTCTGCTAGGAAACCAGCATTCAGCCTCTGCGGTTCAGACAGGAAGGACTGGGTCAGATCTGGGCTGCATCCCTCCTCCCCCTCCCTGATGAATGACTCACCACAGGTAATCACATAGGAAATCACACACACACACACACACACACACACACCACATGTACACACATATCACACACATGTACCACATGGACACACATACCACATACACCACATGGACACACATACTACACACATACAACATATATCAAATGAACACACATAAACACATGTACACATATGCCATACACATGCAACACATACTACAGGTACATAAAAACATACCTCATTTACATGCAATAACCACATACATATACATACCATATATACACACATAAATACATGTATACAGACATATCACACATATACACATACAACACACACCACATGTATATACTCACACACCTACCACACACACAACACAAATCACATAAACACACACATATATACCATAAACCACACATACCACACACAACACCACATATCCACATTCACATGAATAACACACTCACAAGGAAATCTCACGCATGCATACCACCACCATATACTCATACACACACACACACACCACTCACAGCCGGGAAATCTCTATACAGACTCATGCACACGCGCACACTTGCGCGCGCGCGCGCGCACACACACACACACACACACTCCTGCATACACATACATCCAGCAATTGCCCCCATCAGCACTGTGCAGGCTGGGGTCACCCCAGGTTCTGGTTCCTGGGGCTCAGGCTCCTCCATATCGGCCATCTCTGCTCTGCTGGGCTTAGTCTGCCAGATATTCCTGGCAGTGTGGCCTCCTCCTGTAGGGTAACTTTACTTTGTCCTTCCACAAGAAGCTTAGGTTTATCTGGTTACACCCACTAATCTGGTTACACCCATCAATCTGGTTACACCCATCACAGTGCTCCTGAAGCACTTCCACTTCCATTGTGTTTATCTGTAAACAGTCTTCCCTATGCTCTCCTTCCCACCCAGTTAATCAGCTTTCCCCTTAATCAGACTTTGTTAATTTGTAAGATCAGTTTCCCAGAAATCTATGATTTTATATGTATGAGTGAAATTGCCTTTCTCCTCTCCTTATGCCTTATGAACAGTTTACCTTAAAGTAATATCCTTTTTGTATAGATACAGGAAGACCGTTAACATTATGCTTTGTAATTTAGGATTTGATTGGCCTTGAATATTGTTCACTCCCGGGCATCTTTCTCGACTTAAGCCTCAGTTGCCCTTAGTTCCTAACACCCCAAAAGCAGGGTCCCGACGAGGGACTGAATGGACCCAGGGCAAGCGGTGAGCTACCCTGGCAGCGAAATGGGCCAGGCCAAAGTGCCACGATTCTTAACTATAAGTTAAGAGTTTGATCATAGACAAATGTTGTCATGATCCAAAGGTAATGACAAGACTAGGATCCTGCTAGGGGTGGGAAAGACTATCTGGCCTGAGCACTGTAGTCTGAGATCGAGATGGCCCTAGGAGAGCAATTCTATAAGTTTAAGATATTTCTTACTGTATCCATACAAAATGATTTATATTATGTATGCTTATATGCTTGTTGGACAAGGAGAGGAGAGACACACCCTTGGGATTCATGCTGAGAGAGGATCTGTCCTAGGAGTGGCCTTCCCTGAGGCTAAGATTTCTACCCCTATTGATTGTGACCACACCTATGTGTAATTGTTCCCCAATTCCTCATGGAGAGAGGATTTAACTGTACTGTAGGAGTGGGCTAGGGGGCAGAAGGAAGAAGCAAGGTCAGAGAGAGGATGAGAAGGAACAGAAGGAGGATGAAGGGGAGAGGAGAAGGAGAATGAAGTGGCATGGGGGAGCAGAGACAGAGCAGACACAGACAAGAGAGACTGGTGTAGATGGAGAGAGGAATGAAATAAACTGCTACTAATACCAACCAGCCTGGCCCTCGTTCCTTCCTCCGCCTGACCATCGCCATCGACCTCCCCAGGTGGGAGAAGGGTGAGACTACCGAACGCGGGCTGCGGGAGAGATAGAGATACTGCCGTTGCATGCCGTGCCCCCTTTGTGTGAGTTTACACATCATCCACCCCATCTATCCTGCTTGCAATCAGGACATGCAAATGTTCCATGAGTCCCTAGGGTGGGACAAGATTTCAGCTAAGATTTGATAGGAATTGGGTGGTGAGGGACCAGGGAGGCTTGGAGAGGTCTGAGGTCTTCACAGATAAGCTCCCGGTCCTGGGCATGGAGGAAGCTCCGTGACCCATTTAAGCTGCAAGGAAGCGCAACTGGGCAGGGAACGGTCACGAACGCTGACAAGCGCCCTTGAATCCTCACGCTGAGCACTTAGGTGGCACTTCCGGCACAAAAGATCCCATGCCAGGGAGCAGGCAGGAGTTAATTCAAGATGAGGCTTGGTTTCAGGAAGCCCACTGCCTCATAGAGGGATGGAGATGGGTTTGGGAAGAATTAGAACCCAGAGCGAAAGGCGGCAGCGAGAGAACTGAGGCCAGCCATGAGCCCCAGAGGTTTAGCACAGGGGGCCGGTGATTAGGACACCCCAGACCCACCTGGCATTGCATGGTCCCCCGAGCACCGCCAGGAGGAACACCAGAGCAGAAATAGGACTAGACCCCAAGCACTATCAGTGTGGCCCCCAAATCAGGAAAAAAAAATTCTTTGATCTGGGGACTCAGGGGAGGGTTGATTTGAATCTTAGAAAGAAAAAAATGGAGAGAGGGTTTTTGTTTGTTTTTAATAGTGTTTTAAGTTTTGTTTTGGACCACTCTTAGCAGTGTTCAGGACCTGCTC